TGTCTACGGTCCTGTGTTCCCGCCGCCGGACTCGTCTCCGGCCCGTCTTCCTCCTCGTTTCCCTCCTGTGTCCCCTCCGCTGTCTCCTGACCCTACACCTCCGTCCCACGTTTGGTCTCGTCGTCCCTCACGTGCCCGTCCCGTCTCTCCTGTCCTGCCCTCCCACCCTATGTTGCTCCGTTCCCTCTCGTCTCGTCCTCCCCTCCTCCCGTCACCTCCTCCCTCGTCGCTTGCTGTTGCACCTCCTCCGTTCTCTGACTACCTCCGTGCCGCTCGTCCCCTTGTCCCTCGGGTTCTTGCCTCTCTTGTTACCGACCCTTCTGTTCCGGTCTCGCGCCTTGACGCGCTTGTCGCTGCTGTCGCTGACTTCGCCTCTACCCGCCGCCTTGACTACGCTACCGCTCTGGTCTCTGACCCTGCCCGTCCTCCGTCCGTCGGGGGTGCTCCTGCCCTTGGCAGTGACGTCCTAGAGGACAGGCAGTACGAGCTTGCTTTCCTTTCCGAGGCTACTCCCCATCTCTGCTCCATGCTGTTAGTCCCTGAGGGTGACCCAGACGCCTTCGACATCCCGACCCCTCGCACTTACGCTGAGGCCACCTCGGGACCTTGGGCCTCTCAGTGGATAGCTGCCATGGAGCAGGAGATGGCATCTTGGAGGTCCACCGGCACTTACGTCGACGCAGTTCCCCCGCCTGGGGTGAACGTAGTCGATGGTCGGTGGCTCTTCAAGGTGAAGCGCCCCCCTGGAGAGCCGCCTGTCTTCAAGGCGCGCTACGTGGCCAGAGGCTTCAGTCAGCGTGAGGGGGTTGACTTCTTTCAGACCTTCGCCCCGACCCCGAAGATGACCACGCTTCGGGCGCTGCTACACGTAGCAGCACAGCGCGACTACGAGCTTCACTCCCTCGACTTCTCTACTGCCTTTCTTCAGGGCAGCCTACACGAGCAGGTCTACCTGCGCCGACCACAGGGCTTCACTGGTACCTTCCCCCCTGGGACCCAGTGGCTTCTCAGGCGCCCGGTCTACGGCCTGCGTCAGGCTCCTCGCAAGTGGCACGACACGCTGCGGGCCACGTTAGCAGACCTGCAGTTCTTTCCGTCCTCTGCTGACCCGTCGCTTTTTGTGCGTTCCGGCCAGACTCCGTTCTACATCCTTGTCTACGTAGACGACCTGGTCTTTGCTACTGCTGACAGGGACGCACTGGCCTCTGTGAAGGCCGAGCTGCTGAAGAGACACACCTGCACTGACCTTGGAGAGCTGCGTCGCTATCTTGGCCTGCAGATCTCTAGGGACAGAGCAGCACGCACCATCACTCTGACACAGTCACACCTGGTGCGTCAGGTTCTTCAAAGGTTCGGTCTTCAGTTCTCCTCCGCACAGCCCACACCTCTTCCAGTAGACCATGGGCTCTCCGCTCCTGTTCCTGAGGAGCCAGTAGAGCCCAGTGGCCCCTACGCAGAGCTGGTGGGTTGCCTCATGTACCTGATGACTTGCACTCGCCCAGATCTTGCATACCCTCTCAGCATCCTGGCTCGCTTTGTGGCCACTGGCAGACACCGACCTCAGCACTGGTCGGCCGCTAAGAGGGTTTTGCGATATCTAGCAAGTACATCGGGCATGGGGCTAGTGCTAGGAGGACGCAGGCCAGTGGTCCTCACTGGGCACACAGATGCTTCTTGGGCAGACGACTCTGAGACTCTTAGGTCGTCTCAGGGCTACTGTTTCAGCCTTGGTTCGGGTGCTATCTCTTGGAGATCCACTCGCTCGTCGTCTGTTGCTCAGTCCAGCTGTGAGGCTGAGATCTACGCTGGTGCCATGGCGGCACAGGAGCTCCGCTGGCTGACCTTCTTGCTCACTGACTTAGGTGAGCGGCCTAGTTCTGCCCCGGTCCTGTACGCTGACAACAGGGCCATGATTCTCCTGTGTCAGGAGCCTCGACTTGAGGGCCGGGCGAAGCATATCCAGCTGCGGTACTTCCTCCTGCGCGAGCTACAGCAGCGTCGCCAGGCCCGCGTCGTTCACTTGGCCTCCGGTGCCAACACAGCTGATATCTTTACTAAGGCGCTTGCGCCTAGAGATCATCAGCGGCACTGTGTACAGCTTGGTCTTGTTCCTGTAGCTTCTCACTTGTTAGGACCCTGATTGTGTACTCTCTACTATATATATACCTGTCTGACTGGCCTTGTGGCCTTACCTCCAGTGGCTGGACTAGTAGTGCCGCCCTGGTTGGTTTTAGTCTTGTTTGTACTCTTGCTGACTGGTCTCCAGACCCCTGTCTCAGTGGTTGGACTAGTAGTGCCACCCTGGGCTGTGTGCTTCTTGCTTAGCTCCACCCCTTTTCTAGCCTAGGGGGTGTGTCAACTTATACATATTATCTATGTAGAAGTTATAGGCTAGACTAGGTGTGTGCTTCTAGTGAGTACAACCAACTGGTATTTGTTCTATGTTTCTCTTCCTAGTAATTCATTCGTTTCTACGTTAACACCATGGCCGAACCCAGGAATTTCGGCTAAGTCCCTACAACCAGAGACATTCCTACCAAGCACCCCCTGCAACCCATTCGGCTAAGTCCCTCAGCCAGAAACATGTCCCAAGTGTTGTGATAAAATCGTACTTACAGCGACGGAAATTATTGCCCGGATAATTGCCTTAAAACATTTCTCGTACTGGTTTGGTGCCTTCTTTGTTTAGTTACGAATCAAATTACGGGGTTGGATGTAAAGTAGTACTGTATTGTATGTGACGGATGCTGGTTTCAGTTTTATAGGGGTCGATTTTTTACCGAGGACGAGATTTCGTCCGCGTGGATGCATCCGGACAGTTTAGGCCAAGCAGCGTAGTAGATCTATTTCCTAACCTCGCTATTTCTTCTTACTTGCCCTCGCGACTATCGAGTAGTCAGGAGATAGGCTAGGACCGCTGCGATGATTAGGCCGTCATGAAACCGTTAGATGAGGCGCTCTACGCATAGATCATTCCCTTGTTGCGGAGGGGGTAGAGCAATCGTTGAATCGCTAAACAGCTAGCCATAGGGAAGAGTTCGGCCCATCAAGGCGATTGTAGAGTCTAGCCGCGATGACGTGCGTCCTACGATGCCCTCAGCCGGTCGCCCTCGCTTAGTGACAGAGAGAGTTCGCCGCGGCATAGTTCGGTCGATTACCCTCGAGGAGGCAGAAATCTCCGCTCACGTGGCGAAAATCGTTGAGAAGCAGCACGGCATCATGTTGCATCCTAAGACATTGCGTAACGCTTTGAATGGGAGCCGACTTGTCGCAATCAAGCATCCCAAGAAGCCGCGACACTCTCGGAAAAACATACGCGATAGGCTGGAATGGGCGCGTGCCCACGCAGACTGGACGGTTGACGACTAGAAGCGAGTCATCTGTGCGGATGAGACCAAGATTGATCGTCTTGCATCCGACTGACTCTCATACGCCTGCGTTCACGAAGGGACTGCCCTCCAAAGACACCAAATCAAGCAGACCGTCAAACACGGGGGCGGTTGCTTCATAATTTACGACCGCATGTCGTAAAAGGGAGTGGGTTTCATGAGCAAAACATATGGTAGGGTGGACGGACTGCTCTCGCTGAGTATACTGCAGGACGATCTCAACAGTACGATTGAGCTTTACCAGCTTACACCCTCAAAAACTATCTTCCAGCATGACAACGACCCGAAGCACAAGTCGCGTATCGTACAGGAGTGGCTTTGAGAGTAAGATTCAGGGGTGCTAGAGTGGCCGTCTTCCTCACCCGACCTCAACCCAATGGAGCATTTATGGGCTCATCTCAAGAGGCAGCTGGCCAAGCCATATAAGCCTCCCACTGGTATGCTGGACGTTTGGGAGCGGGTGCAGGAGAAATGGGAGAAGATCCCGGCAGATGTGTGCACCCACCTGGTGGAAAGCATGCCCAGGAGGGTGAGGGCGGTGTCTAAGGCAAAAGGGCGGTGGATTAGGTACTAGTTTGGGGTTGATGTAACTTGCTGCTTGCGCCTGGCAATAATTGTCCACATGTACCAAGATTGTTATTTTCTAGTATTTGTTGTAAACATCATTATACTTGTATGATGTAAGGCATGGGCGTGGAGCCTTACCCCAACCTACATACACTAGGCACACCAGAAAATTAAGGCTTAATGTCCATGACCCTCTAAAATGGCAAAATTCCTCTAAGTCACAAACATGTGGACAATACTTTCCGTCGCTGTAAGCATTTCTGTAAGTAGTCTCGATAGATGTTGTCGAGTTACACTGTAGTTTGCATCCGTAGAATGACGTCAGCAAATAGCGATCGTCTGGATGATTACGTCAGCAAGACGTTTCAGTCACACGAACAGTCACGCTCTTTTCAGTAGCGATTAGAGCGCATAGCGCAAATAGCTCGAACAGGTACATCACCGAATAGGTACTTCTAGCAGATATAAAATTAGCTTGTACAACTTCAATAGTCAACTTGTTCTTCAGTAAATTCTGGTCAACACTTACTAGTCTACCATTCCAGCAAATATCCTTGGTTAAGTCTTGAAGTATCGCAAGGCAGTAAGACTGACTCTGGTGTTACAACTTCTTAATACTGGCTGTTACTGGAGGTACTTCCAGTATTACTTTCTACTTCAAATACTTGTGTCTGCAGATTCTATACTTAGTCTCCTGCACCACCTTTCAAATTCTTTCATTGTATGAGAGCTGTCTGGAATTAAGACTCTTGTCAATTTGAATATCGTCAATTTTACAAATGACTGGACCATCGTTAGTCCCATCATCTGGTTCCTCAACAACTGGACCTATGGGTGATACAAATCCTACAGTCAACACTGGTCAAGCAGGGAACTCTGCAGCTGGAAACTTTCCACCTGCTTATTCTTCAATTGGGATGCCGTAACAGCAACAAGGTTTGCCTACTGAGCATCCACTGGGGACTTCGTCCTCTGCACCTGCAACACAACAGCAACAAGTAGCAGCATCAATATCAGCGGCCTTTAGTGGAACGAGCATTTATGGCTCCAGCTATGCAAGAGCTGCAGCCGCTCCAAGCTCCAGTTCTTCGTTTGCGTTTACACCCGCTCAACATCAACAATTTCAATTTCTTCAACAACAGCAGCAAGCGCAAGAACAGTTTCAGCAACAACAACAACAACAACATCAACAGCAACAACAGCAACCGCAACAGCAGTTTCTGTAGCAGCAGCAGACTTCTCTCACTGGTTCTGTCTTTCAAGCACCGAATATTTTAAGCAATACACAGATCAAGACAACTGTACCTTTTAATGGCGCTGACTTCTACGGCTGGAGTTTTGAGTTCGAGCTCCTCACGAAATCCACTGGATTGTGGCCGTTCTTCAGTGGCGATTATTCGTATCCTGTTATGGGAACACAGATGGAACAACAGAGTTTTCTTCATGCTTCACTCAGCGCGTACACCGTCCTTATCCGCAATTGTCGCTGAAAGAGCAGCTTGGTATACGCTCTCTTCACACCAGTTTGACTCCACCAGAATCTGCGTTGAAGCATTTGAAGGGATTATCCATGGCACAGGATACAATTTCAGTGAGTAAAATTCTCTCACAACTGACAACTGTACAGATGCAGGGCAACGAGAACGTTTCGGATTATGTCAACAGGGCTCGAACACTTCGTGACCAATTGGAAAAGTGTGGCGGATACTTCCCAAAGGACATGTTTGTAACAGTCCTTCTTGCCGGTCTTGGAGCAGAATGGCGGCAGTGTCGATCTCTTCTTCGTCTTCAACCCAATCTTTCGGAAGCAGAAATCTGCTCCATCCTTCAAGCAGAGCAACAAGATATTGACCTGCAAACAGCACGTAACAAGAAAGGAGCAGTCAACATCAGCTTTTATTCAACGCCTACGAAACGCGTCAATAAATACTTCTGCCACTACTGCAAAAAGGATGGACACAGTATAAAATTTTGCAACAAGCTTGAAGCTGATAGAAAAAGAGGTGGACAGCAGCAGTCGCAGCAATTGAAGCAACCCGTGAAGCCGAATCCATCGACAACAACTCCTG